GCCAATTCACTTCGTGAACTCGGCAACCAGGTTACCGTTTCTTTTTTATCTTTCTTTTTTTTGCGGTAACCATATTGGTGGTGGAGTAGATCATGTTGTGTTGACAACCCAATTCACTTCGTGAACTCGGCAACCAGGTTACCGTTTCTTTTTTTTCTTTCTTTTTTTTGCCGTAACCATATTGGTGGTGGAGTAGATCATGTTGTGTTGACAACCCAATTCACTTCGTGAACTCGGCAACCAGGTTACCGTTTTTTTTTTTTATCTCTTCTTTTTTTGCGGTAACCATACTGGTGGACGAGCAGATCATGTTGCGCGGGGTGGAGAACCCTCACTCCGCGCAAGGGGGATGATCGCACCACGTTGTGTTAAAATGGTCAAGCACCCTCGAGGCAGTTACACAGTGCTAACAACTTTCTCAGGAAGTGAAAGTACCAGAAAATGTATCAAGTCATACGCAGCTGTCATCCGTACGGAAGTAAGCACGAGATGCCGAACACCCTTAGCAGGATGCAGCTCACCCTTCATGCGACTTGCCGAAAACCTCACGGCGCTTCGCGCCTGGAGATGTGAGAGCCTGGTCCGGTGAAAACCCGGCGTGCTCCGTCCCGGCTTNCAGGAAGTGAAAGTACCAGAAAATGTATCAAGTCATACGCAGCTGTCATCCGTACGCAAGTAAGCACAAGATGCCGAACACCCTTAGCAGGATGCAGCTCACCCTTCATGCGACTTGCCGAAAACCTCACGGCGCTTCGCGCCTGGAGATGTGAGAGCCTGGTCCGGTGAAAACCCGGCGTGCTCCGTCCCGGCTTTGTAGGAATGCGAGGTCAATGGTTTAACGACAACGGCATGCGCGACTATGAGTACACCCCCCTCCCCCCCGCTGCAAACTGTGTTGTTCGAATCGATTTTCGCGGGGTTGCGGCACCACCTGCAGAGGCGGAAGCGACCGCGGGGGGCGGCGGGAAGGCCGATGACGAAGACTTGGACCTTGATGACGACGACTTCGGAGACGAGTGGTAGATTTTCGTAGATTTGCTGCTGCTGCTGCTGCTGCTGCTGCTGCTGCTATCGTCTACAGCATGGATGGATCCCTTGATGGTCGCCCTCCGTCTGCGTAAGACAGCACAACTAGTATCCTTCGCAACAGGTTGGATAAAGCATGCAATCGGAGAAGTTGGGTTAGCGCTAGGGAATGTACGGTCTGCGTATCCCCTCCCTGTTGTATTTCCTCGTGATGATAATTTCTCGCGAAGGCGGAGGTGGAGGGAATAGAAGACTCGTGACGACTTATTTTTAGGAGTTTTTTCCGCGCGCGAAGCGCGCGTGCGAAAATAAAAACGGAGCGATAGCGGAGTTTTTTTTCGCAAAAAAACTGTTTTAGAGAGATGGGTCCTTTTGTTTCCCCGCCTGGGTTCTGCGCACGTTGAATAACACTTCCTGTCAGCCCGACCCCTGAGTTTATTTCTGTTCTCAAATTGTTGTCCGTGTGTTCGCACCACCTTTGCACCGATAAACAAGCCGTTTGAGGATCGTTTTCGGTGCGGAAAAGTGCACAAGCTGTAGCGTAACAAGGCCATCATTCCGCACCCAAGCGTTTCTCATTTCGTGCCCGCGTCGCTGCGTTCGGTGCCGATATGTACTCTATTCACAATCCGTTTCATCGATAACTGCGCCAATTGGCGACGTTCTGCAAAAAAAACGAGTGCCCAAGCCTACTCCTAATAGGTGAACACTTCTCGCGTCGTTGTTTCCTTGCACCAACCCCTAAGTCACTCGTTCACACCCGGTTTGTCCTCTCTTTGCGGCGGAACACGTACGTGTGTGTCGGTTTGGTTCTGCTGCTACGTGTGTGTCGGTCGGTTTGGTTCTGCTGCTGCTGTGTTCTTTTTTTGACCTCGTCCACACCGAGTGGCCAACTTTGGCACGTGTTCAGACCAGCTACCACGCATCTCCTCCTCTACAGCTCGCGGCTTTCACTATCTGCATATCACAGAGGGTGTCCGCGTGTGGTTTGCAGACCACGACAGGGCGTATTGAGAAGGGGCTCGCGATCGGCGACAACTCGCGTGCTAGTTCAAATATTCTGCTGCTGCTGTGTTCTGAGTGGTGGGGCATATTTTTCTACTTCTTCATGTATTAACGCATACGGAGTGCTGACAACAACGATTCGCATCAAAAACATCGCATCAACAACATTTCGGGTGTGTGTACCAAAACAAAAGCAGCACATATTCACGGGGGGCGCACGACCCAGCCTACTGCAGGTACTTTCCGCAGCACGGGTTATGCTGTTGTGATGGTGCGCGCGGGAAAAACTCCCCCCACTCGGGGTCTATTATTTTTTTTAGGCCGCTCTGTGTCTCGTCTCTCTCTTCTACTCTTATCTCTCTTTCTCACCTCTTCGACGAGCGCGAGCTCTGGCGAGTTACATACTGCTGTGGTTTGGCTTCGGAGTCTAGTCTTGATTGTTCTTACATGCCACCTTTCGTGTCGATTAGGTAAAGGTGTGGTGGTGGCGGGGGAATAGGTCTCGGATTTTTTTGCATGTCCCGTGGCGTTTGCTGGATTAGCTGGAGGGACAGGGGAGCTTTTTGCCTATCGCAGCAGCACCAGGGCAGCATACGCATGCGCACGTGGCGTTGCGATCTCTCTGCGTCCGTACTGACCTGGAATTGCGTACGGCACGGCACGTCCCAGCGGTGCCATTGCAGCAGCAGCAGCAATCCGGAGCATCGGTCAGCTGCAGTAACATCAGCTCCGTACGGTCACTTGTGATGTTGTTATGTTGTGGCTCTCGGTGCACAAGACTGTATCCCGTCGGCCGGTGAAGCGGCAACGACAAACAATTCTGACAGAGAAGGGATTCGACATTCCATCTATGGAAGGCGAGTTTGGGGGGAGTGTCCTCAAGTATACGCATGCCGTGTTGAATCGTTAGACCGTTGACCTCGCATTCTTGCGATGCCGGGGACGGCTAAAGTACTCCGGGTTGTCGCCGGCCCAAGCGACGTTCCACAACGATGAATCAAAAGCTGGAGTAATCATCCTTGCGTTTGGTGTGCCAAACCGGACATGCCATGGATTGAGCAGGCATCCCGGTGTCGGGGGGAGGTACCGACGTCCGTATTCTTGAAGCCGCTCTTCACGGTTCGTTCGCGGACGAGTTGGTGACGGTCGTTGTCTATGTAGCTTGTGTGCATTTGCTTGCTTGATGTGTTCTTTTTTAACAGCGGCAAACAGCGGACTAACTTTCTCTTCCTCGCTTCGCATTTAATTTTGCGAGGATGAGTTCCGCGACGCAAATCCTGGTGTGTTCGCACCCCACCGCGTGTGAGAGCAGGGGAAATTACATTGCAAACCTGTGCTTTCATCCCAGCGACCATCCAACCATGCACCCCAATCTCCACCACACGATCATCGTGGTGGTTGGTCCAAAAACGGGAAGATATATTTTATATTCGCACTGTCACGGCGCCCCAAGGTACCATACAACTTGCCAACCAGACACGGCAGACCTCTGGGCTGCGTGCTGCCCAAAACCACATTAAAGCCGAGGTCCTGAAACCGACGTTCGAGGACACCGACACGACCATCCCCACCGACACAGCAAGTGAGTTTAGCTGCCAGGCTGGACGGCCGTTAATATCAACGGGCATAAAAGAGGCGCTACGGTGAATCTCCTTGCCGTAGACTGCAGCAGAGTGTGTGCGTTGTGTGTTATTATTATTTGTTGCATGCTGTTTTCTTCGAGCTCAACCCTTCCCCGTGAGCGCTTCGTTTCACCGCCAACCGCCAACTACTGCTGTAGGCGGGTCGTGTTCCCGAGGACGTTCTTTGGCGGCCAGCCCTCTGTGTCGGTGTGCCGGTTCCCTCATAAGACACGTACCAGCTGAACCAGCGGGCCACAGGTCATCCTTGTAGCGTTTAAAAACTGCTCAACACTCTCAGAACATGAGAACTTGAGCATCATCATTTGCGAGCCCGGTGAAAGAACTCCTATGGTCCGTGCACAACAATTTGTCCAATCACGTTTTGTGCGATAACTTTTTTTTGAAAAAAAATTGGACCACATCAAAGCTTATGTAGCGGCCATTTGTAGCCCAACACTAGAGTAGGGACTAACAGAACCCGCCTTGGCCAAAAGTGGAGTCTTTGTTTGTGCGTGCTCAAACAAACTGCAGACCGTGGTGGCACGAACGTTTCTGGGTGGTATCAAGGGCCCGTTAGGGCTTGCGCTTCGGTTGTCGTTGGCTATGCAAGAAACTGGCTCGGCGCGATACGCACGTATGCGGCCGATCGCACGAGGTTGCGCACCCGCCCCGATTCTTGACGTTTCTTCTCTGTGGGCCCGTAACTGCGGCATGCCTCGAGCAACGGCACGCGCTTCGCGAGCACACACGGCTTGGAATTGTCGTTGGAGCTTTTTGCGAAACGAGCCGCGAACGATGCATGGAATGTTGCTGGAGCAGAGCGGTTGCGCACATCGCAGAGAGGTTCGACGAGGTGTACCTTCAGAACAGTAGTCCGGTAGCCTTCGCGAGGATAGTTGTCGTGCAATAAGTCAACCCTAGTTTTGGTCGGTGTAAGAAGACTTGGGATAGTTTAATCGCAGTATATATAATAAAGGCGTGATGGAAGGAAGGTCAAGAAAGAGTATGAGGTGGAGACTAGAATTGAGAAGGTGTTGGTTTATGGTTGGAATGATGAGCTTATGAGGGAATTGCAGTTAGTTGAGAGAGAGAGAGAGAGTTGGAGAGAAAGTGAAGCGGCGCAATTAGGTAGATACAGAGGAAGCGGCGCAATTAGCTCGTGTCAGCTGATGTCGCGTGCCCCCCCTGTTTCAGTGTTCAATTTCCCTGCTGTTCCCAGCCCACGAAGGCCTAAGAAACACACTTTGATCGCAAGCAACATCGAGACGCGCAAACCCACGACCCCACTGGCACATCTACACTTATATCTACGCGCGATAGGCCATCGCCGGCCGATTCCACGTCATAGTTGCCTTGGTTTTGGTAGAGATATGGGCTGGGGTTAGGGCCGTTTTAAACTGACCGACTTTTTGTCAAAATGTTTGAAAGTGTCAAAAAAATGGAACCTGTATGTAGGCGTTTGTCCATATTTTTTCAAAATATTTGGAACGAAGTTGGGCGCGAAAACTTTGCTCCACTTCGTTCCAACTTTTTGACAACCCTCTCAAAGTATTTGGAGCACTTTCCAAAGTACCCTTGCAGAGGCACGCGAGGGCTGCTGCGTCTGCACCACGAGTGCCCCTCACCGTAGAAAGTCAGCTAGGGTTGTGTGTGGGTCATGGCCGACCGTAGAAAGCGCGGCGCGCCTACAGATTCGAGCGGCTCTCCTCGCCCACGGGCACGCGCAATACAAAAAAAAAAAACGGCGGTCCGCCATGATGGCTTGCAGTTGTTGCTTCGCGTCCGCCGCTTTGTTTTTTCCTTTTCCCGGGGGGGTAGGAGCAGTGGTTGCCACCCCTCGCCGGCGGAGTGTTGGTGGCGGCAGCGCCTCCCGTGGTAACATGAGTGTTCCCCGAGATGCCAGGCAGCAGCACTATCTTGCTGGAGAGCAAGCCTCCACCGCCTACGGCGGCACCGAGAGAGCCCGTCTGCTGGAATTTCGCCGGGGTTTTGGTCTGCCGGCCACGCTGGGTGGTCGTGATATCCATGTCGGTGTCCATGATGTCGTGTTTTCCGCGGTTTGTGTTGTGTCGTCTGTGTTGTCTCGAAGTGAGCGCTACAACTCACGGACGGCGTCATTTTTTTTGACACAAGTTGCACAAGTCTACGTCACACGTTTAAAATGACTGCACACAGGTTCCAAGTTTTTGAAAGACAACTGTCGAAAATTTTGACAAAAAAGTCGGTCCGTTTAAAACGGTCCTTATAGTTAGAGATAGGGATACGACCCCCCCCCCGTCAATGGCATCGGTGAAAGAATAGAACCCTCACGAACGCGGTCCTACTTGTCTGCGTATGCACCCCGGGTGGAACTGTACCACTCGTGACCTATCAACCATGGTTGTGCTGAACGTCACATCGACAGCCTGACGAGACGAACGGAAGACCCACACACCGGAGGCTAGTGACCGCCACCTTCCGCGCCAGCTCGGCGCAGGACAGCACCACCACCCTGTGTTTATGCGATGTTTTCACCTGCCTTGTTTCGTGTGAAGTGTTTGGAACATAGACTACACTCTACAACACGCAAGACAGAATGAAAACGTTTTGTATGCGTAGACTACATCCATATCCGCTCGATAAAAAGTTGATGATTGTTGCTGCTGCTGCTGCCGCTGTTGTTGTTGTTGTTGTTGTTGTTGTTGTTGTTTTGGTCGTTGCTGTTGTTGTCGTATTTTTCACATTATTGATAGAAAACCGTTCCGGTCCCTGCTCTGCACCTTTTTAACATCCATCCGTAGATTGATACGACTGACGCGAACGCCTTCCGTGGTCACAAGTGCCCCGTACATTTCGCTTTTGACTGCTGTTTTTTTTTTCCAGGGGCCGGCTCGAGGGCTTCGGCTCCGTGGATGAAACCAGTCGTCCCAGACAAGCACAATCATCATGCAGAGGGTGAGTGAGGCACGTGTGGTCTACCGTAGTGTGCGTACTGTAGGGTCCTACCCAAGGGTTATCGCCGTTGTAGCTTGTGGCATTGTATGTGTATTGCTCTGAATCACTGCTGTAATGGTGTACATACAGCTCAGCCCATCGCCGGTTTCAAGAGACCCGCATGATCCGAACACGACATTTTGCGAAATCTTCGCGAGTTATTTTGTTTTCTCGAATTTACGTGGGTAAAATTGCGAAACCGTGATGAAGGTCCGCGTGTGCTGACACACGCCCTAGAGACCGATCAATTCCAAAGCTCGAGTGCTCTACGTCAACCGAAATGGGTGCAACACCGCCCTCCCGATGCGCGCAAACGAAGCTCTCCTCGAAAACATCTTCCCGACACCACCACCATCACAACCACCACCACCTTTTTCTTCGGCAAAGTTGGCAGCAGCCTCTAGTTCGTCATGGAGCAATCGAGCATGGTGTGAGATCACTCGCACTGCTGTTTTCGGTATACACGTCAGCACGTACGATGGGGGGCGTGGTGACAAACAGGACTCCCTGTTTGTTCTGGGGGGGGGCGGA